GCAAATTTGAATGAATGAGAAAATTGTTAATATGAAGAAGGTTTTGTTAATTTGAAAATTGAAGCATTGAATATGGTTTGAAATAAGAAAATCTGCATTTTATAAAGTTGTAAGAACCTCTTAATTCATGCCAATTCATATGAAAAGTTGCAATGCATTCATGAAAAGATACCACTTGAAAAATGTTCAAAAAACAAAGTAAAAGCTGCATTGGTTCGCTAGGAACCGGTTCCGACACTGACAGAACCCGGTTCTTAGTGAATGTTATAAGTTGAAATTCAAATTTATCACGCAGGAACCGGTTCCCCTATTGGTACAACCCGGTTCCTGGTACAAAATCCAGGGACATGTTTTTTGAGAAATGCTGGAACCTGGTTCCCTGTTAGGGAGGAACCGGTTCCTAAAGGTTTATTTTCAAAAATACTTTTTGAAAGATATTTCAAACAAAGTTTTTCTTGATGTTAAAGTTATGGAATATGTATATGTTGATGAATGCATATTGTGAACATCTATATTCAAGATTTTAAGAATTATTTATACCATATTGACATTTGATGATTTCTTCAATAATTCTTCAATAATCTTCAAGACTTTTATTTGATGTTGATAAGCTTTTTGCACATCCTTTGAAAGTTGATGTCCATGTTGTCTTCATCAAAACACATGCTTTAAATATGACTTGAGAAGCTTGCAATTACACTATTTCTTAGAATTAAGCATGAGTAAGGATAAAAAGAATATATGAGAAACTACAAATAACACTTTCACCTCAAACATGCTAAAAACCAAGAGTATGGGTCATGTGCGCGCCATTGTTTGATTATTATTTTTTAAAATAAACAACTTTTCTTTCGGTTTTCTAAAAAACTGAAGTAACTTAACAATAAATGAGCGCCATGTTTTATCAATTAAAAAATAATAAATTTATTTTCTCAGTTATTTGGAAAACCGTGAGAATATAGCTATAAGAGATCTTGCTTCAAATCCCTATTACTGCATTTAAAAAAAATTCAATGATTTCTCACTTGGTGTCTTTCTAGATTCCATATTTTTCTTTGTTAATTAATAATTCTCAAAATCTTTATTATCAATAAACAAGAATAGGAAATAATAGAAAATAAAATATTTTATTGATGATAAAAAACAGGACAACAGATAACTATTCAACATATTCAAACTTTTGACTTCACTTAAGTTTAACATTTCCTCTAAGCATCTCTAACTAAGAGAAAAGTTCAGAAAGAACTCTTCCATATTGTATGAGGAAAGTCATTTCCTCCCGAGAACTTCTTATCATTTCCTTTAAGAAGTTAAAAATGGTAAGAGTATGATTAACTATGATGTTAAGGAAGTACAGGAGATGCTTGTCATCCCAAGTAAGTGTTTCCAGTCGTTTCACTCTTAGACAGAGATTTGACACTAGAAGTTAATACCAAACTTTTGCAATTGAGAATTGAGTAGCAGGACTGATAAGGTGATTGTAGTTGGCATAGATTTGGTAAAGGCGGGTTGAGTAGACATTATTGAATCTGTAATGTTACACACAACTACCAAACTCTTCACATTTTATTGTTTGAGTAATAAGTGATGGAGTAATAATGATAAGGGAGTCATTGGCATAGGATTGGATTGACTCAACATCCTGACCAGATGGCACAATGGAGGCACTTAACCAAAATTCTTTAACGAGATTAGTGTATATGGGGCCATGAAGAATGTCAAAGAAACCGATCAACTTTTGTTTGGAAATAGTTTCCCTTAGATTAAAACCTTTGTCTTTCAAATCATCAAAATCAACAAACTTTTCATTGATAAAGAACAAAAGATTTTCATCCATTTTTTAATAAAAGAAAAGACTTTGAAACTAGGTTTAAAAACACAAAGAGTTGGAAATGAGACGTTGAAAATAGGAATTGTGTTTAAATAGCTCAAAACCCTCCTTGAAAATTCAAAAGATAAGTTACATTTTGAATGTGGATGATCATTGCTATCCTAGTGATATTATTCCAATGCATGCCACATTTTAGAAATAAAACCATATCTTACCTTAGATTTTCTAATAACCGAGTGCTTAATTCTAATATTTTTATATAATATTTCAACTTTGTACAAGAAAAGTCTAAACAAAGACATGGATTTTCTACAAAAGTATACCCAGTCTTTGCATCATTAAGCACTTGACTAAGATAGTAAATGGATCTTTCGATGCCATTCTTATCCTCTTGCTTGAGCATACTTCCTATTGTTACATCTGATGCAGATGTGTACAATCTCATACACATATTTCTACAAGGTGGTGCTAGTAATGGAGGTTGAACAAAATATTTCTTGATTTTGTCGAATGCCTCTTGATGTCCTTACATCCATTCAAAGCTTCCTTGTTTAAAACATAAAAGGGGAGAGAAGGTCTGAGTGTGTCCACTTAAGTTTGAAATCAATCTTCTCAAGAAATTTATCTTCCCAAGTAAGGACTATAATTATTTCTTTGTCGATGGCTCTTTCGCTTCCATTATGGCCTTCGTCTTGTTTTGGTTAATTTCTATTCCCTTCTTATGGACCACAAAGCCCAGTAAATAACCTTCCTACACAACAAAACCAGACTTAAGGGGATTCATCTTCAACCCATGTTTCCTCATTCTATCGAATGATTGTCGAAGGTGATCCAAATAACTTTCATCTGACACTGATTTTACAACTAGTCATCAATGTAAACTTGCATGAAAGTCTCAATGAAATAATAAAATATCGAATTCATTGCCCTTTGGTAATTTTCCCTAACATTTTTTAATCGAAAAGGCATAACCACCCATTCATAGGTGCCTAATGCCCCCGAGCATCAAAAAGTTGTCTTCAGCACATCTTCCTCAACAATGAAAATTTGATTGTATCTAGAGTATCCGTCAAGCATGCTTAGATACTCATAGCATGCGGATGAATCAACCAACATTTATGCCACATGCATTGGATATTCATCCTTTGGGGTTGCAAAATTTAAATCACGAAACTCTATGCAAACCCTTAAGGATCCACTCTTTTTTATGACAGGTACTATATTTGCAATCCATTTGACATACCTTATAGTTCTGATGAATTTGCACCTGAGGAGTATTTCTATTTCCTCTTTGATATTTGAGAGAATCTATGGCGTGAATCTTCTTGGTGTCTGCTTGATGGGCTTCTTGTCGTCCTTTACGGGTAGCTTCAGTTCGACCAGGTCTCTGCTAAACCCTAGCATATCATCATAATCCCAGGTAAAGCAATCCTTGTAATTCTTCAGCAATTGAATCACTTTGTCTTTTATTTATGGGTTGAGGTTAGTGATAATGTATGTGGGTCTTTTAATGGACCCATTGTCTAAGTCATCTTCTTTGAGAAGATCTTGCACCATCATCTTCGCACTTCACACTGTTGGATCTTTCTCGAATCCCAAAGGCTCTTCGTCATATATTGCATCCAGCCTCTGGTATTTTTCTTCCATGGACACTTTGTTAGGGGGCTCTAGTTTGAAGTTGATTCCAGGTCCTTTCGCATGGATTTTTCCTTGGTGGCTTCGTCAACCATATACTTCACTTCAGCCTCTAAGGCCATTTTCAATCTATTTTCAGCCAAATAGGCCAAAATCTTTTTGAAGTAACTTGACTCAGACATCATTACAGTCTTCGTTACTTCATCCAATTGGCCAAAGTCCTGGTACTCCTTCTACTTCATTTTCTTCTCCTATTATTTCCTTATCCCACAAAAAGCCATGGGTGGGGTGAAATGTGATGAAGTGTAGAGCATTGTT